GGCTTTGGGGGAAAAAAATAAATAAATAAAATTATAAAAAAAAAATAGGGAATTTGAAGTCATATCAAAATTTGAATCTTGGTTTTGATACTAAGTAGCTATGTGAAAATTAATATTTTTGAGTGTCATTTTGTTATCTGCACATAGTAGCTGCCTCATAGAGCTGTTGTGAGGGTTAAATGTGATAATATAAGCAAAGTGCTCGGCATAGTGCCTTTCATAAAGTAAGTGCTAATAAATGTTACTTTCTCCCTTCTTCTTTGCATTCCATGTCTTCTATTTTCCTTGTCTCTAATTTCTGGTTTTTCTTTATTTCTACCTCTACATAACATCCAGGAACTTTTCACTGCTGTCTCATTTTTCTTCAAGCTTAAATATCTGACCTTTTGGGAATTAGGATACAAAGCCCTTTCTAAACTGGTAATATGTAAAAGAGAAGCCCACGCAAGACAGTCTTGAGTCATCCTGCCATCACCAGGGGAAGATGATGCATTACCGTATCATCATTACTGTGATAAATGTTATTTGCAGCACCTCCATACTAGGAGCATTTTTTTATACCCATGACATATAGTTTATTCTAGAAATCTTTCCCTCTATGCTCCACTACAGAGACATCATTTATGCCTTTTCATTATCAAATTGCACTTTTGCCCTCAAAATCCATTTGGGAAAGCAAGACTGCACCCTATACTTGTATATCCATTATCTAGAACTCCAAAAGCAGATGCCTACCTGACTTTTGTCTGCACGACTTTGCAATTCTAATATTTAACAATTTTTTAATTTATCTTAATTCTGATATGTGTTTTCTGCTTGATTTTTGCCACATTCATTTAAGCAACTGGTTCATTGGCCAAAATAAGCAAAATGAGGGCTTTTATTTATTTTTTAAAGCAAAACAATGGCTGCTTACTGGGCAATGGACCAACTGCCAAGATTTAAGCTGACTTGCAAGATTCACTTTCAAGGAGACCAGAGAACTTGACTATTTAAAATGCAATCAATTATTTGGTAATCTGCTTTTACACATCATGTAAGAAACAGTCTATTTTGTGTGAAATTATGGGTCCCTCAAACTTAATAGAAACAAATATAAAATGAATTTTAAGGAAACTATTTTTTTTTAACCAATAAGAGATGCATAGTGTAGTATTTTGCTAGGACAGGAGACATGTCCCTCCCTCACCATTACTTATTGAGCAAGTCAGTTAATCTCTCTGGGACTCAACTGTTTCATCTATAAAATAGGGATAATGATACCTTTCCTGCTGGAAGGCAAGGAACTGAACCAAACGAATTCTTGAGATCCCTTCTGAATCTCATAAGATTTTTATGTTTATGTTTATAGGTATACAGGTCAATATGTATACAATTTCCTGGAATGGTAGTAGGCCCAGGTTGTTTCTGTTGGAAGGAAAATATCACTGAGTTTGATTCTGAGCTTTCTCTAAAGACCTTTGCTGGCATTCCACTTTTAAAAGAATGTTAATGTACGGATCTTTTTCAAATGGCCAAGGAAAGCTATTCCACTTTGTCACCTAACTCTATGTACAGTATTGGTATGACATCACAGGAAGGAACTTTAAAAAAATAGAAGTAAATGTGGAAAGTAACTAGGGTCTTAGTTTGGCTCTGATATAAATGAGCTATGTAAATATGGAAGGTCACATCCACTTTGTTCTCTACCGTCTCTTCCAGCTCAAAAATTCTTTTGCTCTATTTATCTGAGAATTTTTGAAATTCCTCTGTATTTTACTAGTTTTCAGGGAATATACCACAGTAAACACTCTTCAATAAGATTTTCAGTTAACAGCAAAATCGAAGAGTGTATGAAGATAAAACATTACATAATCAGAAACAAGATAACAGTTGTATATATACTAACACCAAGAAACTTTCTTTCCACTAGATTCTGGAAGCCCTTTCTACATCAAACTCTTTCAGAGTATCACATACACAGTTTATATTTTGGACCACTTTATCTTGATCTTTCACTACAGCTTTCCAGCAAAGGATTATAAGTATTCTCTGGTCCTCCACATGACTTCAAAGGGTTTTATTGCATCTATGTGAACATTTAAAGGGTAGTACACATCCTTGAGATTTCACTGTATATTATGCATTTCAAATTAAATAAATTAAATTCCCCCCCGTTTTTTTTTCGTCCAGAATATTCTTTTGTTCCATAGCCAGACAAAACTTTTCCATTAAGAACACGTATTTCCTCCCCTTTATGTTTAATGGACTTATATAATTTTAAAACATATAATTAAAGTCAATTATGTGCTAATACTACCTTATATTTTGCTACCAAATGCTTTGGGCTACTACATCAAATGCTGTGGCTTGGCATATATACAGACTTTCTCATTTCTTAACTTCAACTTTGTCAGCTCCCCCATTGCTCTGTCACAATCTAAGTTGCCTCCTTTCCAGGAGACAAAACCAATCCTCATATTTAGAGCTGTTTTACTCAGTGTTCTTTATGTTTTCCAAAACCGAGTTGCAGAATTATACTTATGCTCATCATCTTCTTTGTCTCCTTTCTCTGTTTTCAATCTCCAATTCCATTTTTAAAAAATTCTATTTTTTTGATTGCAATAAGAAACAACAACGTGATTTTACAAAGCGTTTTCTTGCATTCTGTTTGTAGCATAAAGGGAAATCACATTAACCTTAGAACTCTGAAATATGACAGCCAAACAAAAGCCTTCCAAACGCAAGACTAGGTAGCTATTTGCTGCCTCCAATATAAAGTGTAGAGATACAATTTTAGCTTCTAAATAAGTCTACCAAAATTTAGCGCTGGTCACTGAAGAACAGATATTGGCAGGCTATCCTCAGCTATCCTCAGAGTAGACAGCTGCACAGCTAGGTCCTTGAGCTGCTGGGCGCAAATCTGTAAGCGTGACCTCTGGACCAAAGAGCAACAGATGGTATCTCCAGAGAGGCAAATGACATTATTCGTGACCCAAAGTATTTTTCTGTACTAACCATTAGGTAAGATTTAACTTCTCTAATCTCAGACACAACTTCAGAAAGAAATGGATTCCAAGTATTGTTTCCTCTGCTGCCCCTCAGTGGTCCAGACAAGTGTCTACATCCATCTGTGGTGGTAGTGATAGTATTAGAAGTAAAAATAATACGTAGTGCTCACTATATGCCAGCAACTTTAAACAAATTATCCCATTTACTCTTTATAACAAACTGGTAAACAGTCACATGTGATAAAATGACTTGCTGGAATGACATTAACTAACATAGAGAATGCAAAGGAATGTTGTGTAAAGTGCTATACAAATGAAATGCTTTCTCATTGATCTAATTATTTTAGTAGACAAACTGGTGAATCACGGGTCATAATTGGAATCCAGGTCTATCTGACCTCAATAAGATAGTTCCTCCATTTCACTGATGAGGTAGCTGAGATACAGAGAAGTCAAGCAATTTGCCAAAAGTCCCATACCTAAAGTGATAGAGCCAGAATCCAGCCCGGAAGTCTGCTTTCTGACCCTGCACTCATAGCCTGTGCTGGAATACAGCAACAGGAGGCAGCTTATCAACCTTCCAGGGCCTTGTGGGTGTTAGGAAGATTCTCCTCCTACTCCTGTCAATGAATAACTAAAACATCCTGAGCTCCAGTGATAAGGTGCCACATCACGTCTGAGCCCCCTCTTTCCACATCCACTGTACCTGCATATATAAGGGACCACCTGCAGGGCACTGTGCTTCTTAGCAAAGTGACTCGTCTGCTCTTGCTGGGGCATAACTTTGGACCTGAGCTACCAAACAGCCAGTGGCACTGATTCTATGAGCCACAGTCTAGCTGCAAGCTTGCCCAGGAGTCTCAGGTGTTCTCTTTCTTTTTTTTTTTTTTTTTTTTTTTAAAGTTTTTTTTTTTCAGTTTTTTCCCCCCAAAGCCCCAGTAGATAGTTGTATGTCATAGGTTCACATCCTTCTAGTTGCTGTATGTGGGACTCGGCCTCACGTTGGACGGAGAAGTGGTGCCTCGGGGCGCTCCCGGGATCCGAACCCGGGCCGCCAGCATCAGAGCGCGCGCACTTAACCACTAAGCCACGGAGCCGGCCCTCAGGTGTTCTCTTTCTTACATAGGGAATGGGCGAGACACCATTATAATCTGTCAATTTGTTTTCAATAGGCCATAGTTACAAAGGGTCAAAATGGGGTCAGGAAAACAAGGTCTTTCATCATTCGTATGGTGCTGTACAAGTCAATGTCTCTGGGACTTTAATGTTTCCTTACAGGAAATAGGAGAGGGTGATAAAATTGAGGGAATGAGCGATTAAACTATTTTAAGTCACAAACCCCTTTGAAAAGCCATCCTGGGGAAAGCTATTTTGAGGAAATATCCAGAAAACTGTGCATACACACAGACACAGGCTCACATACCTCACAGTTTGCATACTGTGGTAGGCTAAATGATGGCCTCCACAAGGATGCTCGTTTCTAATCCCTGGAATTTGTGAATGTTATTTTATACTTTTTATGGCAAAAGAAACTTTGCAAATGTGATCAAGTTAAGGATCTTGAGATGGGGAGATTATCTTGGATTATCCGGTGGGCTGGATGTAATCACAAAGGTCCTTATAAGAGGGTCACAGGAGGAATCAGAGTCAGAGAGAAGGCAAAGCAGGAACAGAAGAGGAGTGTCAAGGAGTGTCAGAGTGATGCCTGAGAAGTTAGCCATTGCTGGCTTTGAAGATGGAGGGGGCCATGAGCCAAGGAATGCAGGCAACCTCTAGAAGCT